GGATGGCAACTTTGGGCAAATTATTCAGCATGAGTTTCAGGCTTCTCATTGTCACTGGAGACCACACCAGCCACCCCTGGGCGATGGTTATGTGAATGAGCACAGGGAAAGTGCTCTGACACACACGGAAGTCCAAAAGAGCAGCTGTCGCTACCGACATCTATCTACATGGGAAATGTCCATTTCTCAGATCACAGGCAATGAGGACCGATTTTTTTAAAAAATGTGAATTTTCACTTGCATTTGAAATGAAACCACTGAAATTGTTTTTAGAGTATTTTGAATTCAAATATTACAGAATTGTAAAAGACATACACCAGTCTGTCTTCCTCATCATTTTATACTATTTTAGGTGAAAATGACATAGTCAGCCACTTTAAGGTAAATGATTCGCGGCACTTAGTACATTCACAGTATTGTGCAACCAACTCTATCAAGTTCCAAAACGCGTTCATCACCACAAAAGAACCTCATACCCATTAAGCAGCTGCCGTTCCCTACTCCCCCAGGCCACAGCAACCACAATCTGCGTTCTTCATCTATTAACTTACCTCTTCTGCATATTTCAAAAGAATGACATCATACAATATATGACCTTTAGTGTCTGGCTTCTCTTACAAAGCATAGTATTTTCAGGGTTCATTCACATTCTATCATGTATCAGCATTTCAGTAATTGTTACAGCTAAATAATATCCCAATATCCCAATGTATGAAGAGACCATAATTTGTTTATCCATCCACCCACTGATGGACATCTGGACCGTCATCACCACCTTTTGGCAATTGTATACAGTGCAGTGATAACATGGGTATATGTGTATTTGTGTTTGAGTCCCTATTTTTAATTCTAAATTTATCTGGGAATATCTTAATTTCGCCTTCATTTTTGAGTGACAGTTTTACTAGCATAGAATTTTCTGTTGACGGTTTCTCCTTTCCCAATTTTAAAAACATCACCCCACTTCCCCCTGGCCTCTAAGGTTTCTGATGAGAAGTCTGCAGATGGCTCCTCACCTCACTGAGGACCCCCTGCATGTGCTAAGCCGCCTCTCTTGCCGTTTGCAGGGTGTGCTCTTGGTCCTGGGGTTTCAACTGTTTGATGGTAATGTGTCTTAGTGTGGATCTCTGCATTTATCCTTCTGGGGTTCAGTGCACTTCCTGAATGTGTAGATTTGCGTCTTTTCTCAAATTCGGGGAGTTAATGGCCATTATCCTTTCAAGTATTCTCTCTGTGCTCTCTCTCTCTCCTCTCCTTCTAAGATGCCCATCACGTGTACCTTAGTACACTTGATGCTACCCCACAAGTCTCTTAGGATCTGTTTATTTTTCTTCATTCTACTTCTTGCTCCTCAGACTGGATAATTTCAAGTGATCTAGGTTCAAGTTCACTGATTCTTTCTTCTGCCAGCTCAAATCTGCTACTGAAACTCTCTAGTGAGTTTCTCTCTTCATCTATTGTACTTTTCAGCACCAGAATTTCTTGCTTCTTTTTTTAAAACTTACATACCTTTACTGATATTCTCCATTTGTTAACATCTCATTCTGGTATCTTTTAGCAATTTGTCCATTGTTTGCCTTAGTTTCCTGAGCATATCTGAGGCGGATGACGTCGTGTTTGTCTAGTAAGTTCAATGTCTGGGCTTCCTCAGAGAAAGTTTTTGTTAATTTCTTCTGTGAATGGGCTACACTTTCTTTGCATGCTTTGTAATTTTTTGTGGGAAACTAGACATTTTGAGTATTATAATCTGGTAACCCAGGAAATGAGCTATCCCCCCCCTCTTCTGGATTTGTTTTGCTGCTTGGTATATGCTATAGCCATGTATATTTAGTGACTTTTCTAAACTATTTTTGTGAAGCATGTATTCTTTGTCACATATGGTGACAAAGAGGGGGGAGGGAAGGAGGGAGGGAAGACGACAGAAAGGAAGAACAGCCTCTTCCGCCTTTGCAGACTGTGGCTCTGTGCTGGGCACCCTGTCGCTTAGTCCGGGTTTACAGCTCTGCCTCAGCCTTCACTTCCGCCTGTCCTGAGCCTAGAAACTGGTCAGAAGCAAAAGACCTTCTCAGGCCTTTTCTGAGCTTGCATCCAGCTCTGGCCTTGAATGTAGCTTTCAAAATTCCCCGAGCAAACAGGGGCACTTTGGATTCTCTCGCATCTTTTCCTGCCTGGAAGTGACACTCTCGTGTGTGAACCCCAACTAATCTTTGCCCGGCGACTCCGGCTGTACCCGAGTCTGACACAAGGAGAAACGCCTGCAGCTTTTCAGCCTTCCTGCCCTGAACTCCAAGCTAGGTGAAAGACAGGCGAGTGAACTGGGTTAGTCCTTCAAGTAGCCCCCAGACAGGTTAGACAGACAGACACAAAGCTTTGCAAGCTCGTCCTGCTCTGTGCCCTCCAGGGCCGGGTCCAGAGCCCAGACTGGGAACATGGCTGCTGCTTGTCTTCCCGGCGGCTGCCATGACACGGAGTGGGTGGAGCAAAGGCAGGTGAAAATATTAAAAGGCTTTCCTACGATTTTTAGGAGGCCTTTTCCTGGATGCAACAATCACCTGGATGCTGTAAAGTTTGACTGTTTCCAGAGTTTGGACGAAGTTAGCTCTGCCACATTCTGCCTGATTTGTGGAGCTGCGTACTCTGTCATTTTTGCTGACATCACCACACCATTTATTTGTGAATGATACAATTAGTGCCCAGAAACAAATCTCTGCTCAGCCCAAATTCCACAATACAAAACAATTTAAAACATAAGCCAGGACCTATACTGTATTCCAAAATAGACAAACCAAAGTTACACCTAATTTACCTGGCCATTCTGAGGACTCTTTTCCCCAAAGCTAAAGCTTACCTTATTTTCTACAACACACCTTTCCTCTACCATGCCAATACTTTATGCATTAAAGCTTTTTAATAATTAATTTTTCAATTCAATTGAGAAAGAACAGTCTTTTCAACAAATGATACTGGGGCAACTTGGTGTTCACAAGCAAAAGGATGAGAAGCCACATCACATACAAAATACAAAATGAAAATGGGTCACAGACCTGAATGTAAGAGCTAAAACTATAAAACCCCTAGAAGAAAATACAGAAGTAAATCGTTGTAACTTTGGGTTGGCAAACTGTTCCTTAGATACAACCCCAAAACATAAGCGACAAAAAGAAAAAAACAGATGAACTCGGACTCATGAAAATTAAAAACTTTTGTGTATCAGGGGATACCATCAAGAAAGAAAAAATACAACCCATAGAATGAGACAATACAGTTCCAAATCACATATATCTAACATGGGACTTAAATCCAGAATATAGAAAGAACTCCTACAGCTCAACAATTAAAACAGATAACTCAGTTTAAAAGCAGGCAAAGAATGTGAATAAACATTTCTCCAGAGAAGATATACTAATGGCCAGAAAGCACATGAAAAGACATTTAACATCATTAGTCATTAGGGAAATGCAAACCAAAGCCACAGTGAGATACCACTTCACACCCACTAGGATGGCTACAAGTGTTGTTGAAGATGTGGAGAAACTGGAACTCTCTCACATTGCTGGTGGAAACGTAAAACGGTGCAGCCAATTACGAAAATAGTTTGGCAATTCCTCAAAAACATGGAATTACCGTGCAGTCCAGTAATTTCATGCCTAGGTATATATACAAAAGAAATAAAAACAATGTTCACACAAAACTTGTACACAAATGTTCACAGCAGCATTATTTATAATGGCCTAAAAGTGGAAACAACCCAAATGTCCATCCATATGATATATCATACAGTAGAATATCACCTGGCAACAAGACGCTAAGTACTGGTATGTGCTGCAACATGAATGCACCTTTAAAACATGATGCCAAGTGTCAGGAAACAGTGACAACAGGCCACACACTCCCTGACTCCATTTATATGAAATGTTTAGAACAGGCAAATCCATAGAGATAGAAAGTAGATCAGTAGTTGCCTGGGGCTGGAGTGGGATAGGGAAGCGGCAAGAATGGGAAATGCCTGCTAATAGATATTCAGAGCTTCTTTCTAGAATGTTAAAAACATTCTGAAATTAGATGGTGGTGACGGTTTCATAACTCTGTGACTATACCCAAAACTATTGAACTGTATATTTTAAATGGATGAATTTTATGTTATGTGAAAAATACTCCAATAAAGCATAAAAACACTTTTTAGACAATTAAAAAATAATAATAATTCATTGTACAAATGTCCATGTATAAACAGAAGACATAAACTCCACTCTAAACTTCTCCATTTTTAAACAGGCTCTGAGTCATTATGAATATCCATTTAGTTTTTCACTGTCACTTTCTACTGTCATCACGCTTACCTGTAATACCTTCACCCACTCTCTCCCTAATACATTGCTTCTTTTCTACAATGGACTGAAAAACCAAATAAACAACTCTCAAGAACATAAACTGGGCGAGGGTTAAAGCCTTAAATGAACGTTGCAGGGGGATCGGCGCACATCAGTTACCACTTTGGACCATGACATTTGTTTCAGCTGCTCAAAGCCCTCTTCCTTAAGTATAGTTCAAGGCCAAGATACCAGATGTCTGACCTTAATGACTGTGTTTAAAATATAAAGCAAAGAGAGACCTTAGAGGAAGTGATAACTACCCTTCACAGACAATGCGTACACACCAGTTGAGCTTCACGTGTCTCTAGGACACGTGCATTATATACAAACTGTAACAGCGCACTCTAAAACTATTAATATTTATGTATATGTATGTGTGCATGCATGTATTTAAGGGTTTGTGTATATATTAATATTCATAAACACATACATCCAAGCATCTAGAGAATGAATAAAAAGCTACCCTGAAACTATATGCATTATAGTATTATAAGAAAATTAGACAACACACAATCGCATAATACTATTTTCAGTAACTAAATTAAGACGTTTTCTTACATTTATGTTAATTCTAAAATGATGATTATATTAAACAATGATAAACTGAATTAAAAGTATCTTGCTCACCTCTTACTGTAAGCTTGCTGTATAGTTGTGAATTCACTTCCTTGTCTCGCTGAAAACGCCGAAATTCATCAATTGCTTCCCTCATGATAGTAACAGCCAAGACAAACCCCTTTAAACAAAATAAAGTATTTGAGAAAACTGGACTTCAACAAAAAGGGAAAATTCTTTTACTGTTTAGCTTTACTTTTTTTCGTTCAATTTATATTAGTTGTAAAATATACAATAAATGAAAAAAAAAGACAAAAAGTAACAAACACTACAAAAGGAACATAGTAATGCATAGTGAAAGATTTACAATTCTTACTATACCCCAGAAAACTTAAAAAATTCACACCTTAATGTATACTTCAAGCTAAACATCAGAAAATATTTAATAACCCAAAGAAAAAGAAATTAATCTTCAATAAACCCATGAATTATATTTAGAACACTCAGGCATTCAAATATCACATTAACAAAGACTGACATAAAAATCTTACAATACGTGCACTTAAATCTTTCTGATAGAATAAAAGCATTTAGGAACACAAAACAATTCCCATATATGACACTTACACATCAACTTCCTTACATCATGCATTACCATGCAAATGCATTTGAGAGCACAGGTATGGCCATAGTGCTCTTTTTCTCTCATTTTGTTAAGCAAAAACCTGAATAGATGAGTTTGATGCTATCAAAATAAAACTTCTGTATACTTGTAATCTATTGTGAAATCTGTTACTAACACATGGCTAACGTCCATCTTTTTTAAAGGCTACATATGTATTTTCTGACACACAATACAAGAATATTCTTCAAGTCAAGTTCCCTATGATTAAAGAGAGACCTCTTCAGTAGGCTTCATTTTAATGACAAACATGCTCCAGCGTACCATGTAAATTACACAACACTGGATGAATTTCCACTGAAAGTACAATAATCTCTTATTCCAGGTTTATTGTTTTTGGTTTTTTTTGAATTAAAAGAACACCTTTGTTTATTGACACGGAAATTTAAATTTTATATAATTTTTATATGTCATAGCATATTATTCTGCTTTTGATGCTTTTCAAACATTGAAAGTTTAAAAACCATTCTTAGCTTTCAGGCTGTACAAAACAGAGGGAGGTCCAGATTTGGCCCATGGTTTGCCATCCCTGCTTTTATTTATTTATTTTTAATTTAATTAACTAATTTATTTACTTATGGCTGCGTTGGGTCTTCGTTGCTGCGCGGGCTTTCTCTAGTTGCAGCGAGCAGGGGCTACTCTTCATTGTGATGCGCAGGCTTCTCATTGCAGTGGCCTCTCTTGTTGCAGAGCATGGGCTCTAGGTGTGCGGGCTTCAGTAGTTGTGGCATGCGGGCTCAGCAGTTGTGGCTCGTGGGCTCTAGAGTGCAGGCTCAGTAGTTGTGGTGCACGGGCTTCGTTGCTCCATGGCATGTGGCATCTTCCCGGACAAGGGCTCGAACCCGTGTCCCCTGCATTGGCAGGCGGATTCTTAACCGCTGCGCCACCAGGGAAGTCCACCATCCCGCTTTTATTGTTTTATATATTTTTAATTAATTTTTATTGGAATACAGTTGATTTATAATGTCGTATTAGTTTCTACCGTACAGCAAAGTGAATCAGCTCTACATAGGTTTTTTTCTGTCTAACCAATAGGCTAAAGTAAGTAGGCCTCTGGAGAATGTTTCTTGTGTTCAGAAGTGCAGTCCTCTTTAAGCAGTTGTGCCTGAAGGCTGGTGTGAGGCTCCAGGCTCAGTGCACACGGCCCAGTTCTCCACTCACTCAGTAGCCTTCAGTCTTGACGTTCATGGTACAGGCACCACCAGTAAGCAGCATCACTACTGCTCTCTGACTCTCAGTGTCATCACGGATCACCACCTGCTGACTGTGCTTCCCAGCACGCCTGAGGCCTAGACCACTCTCAGCGGTGATGTGGGAGCCTGGCCCAGGCCCCCTTGGTTCTCACGGCCACCATCACTACTGGGCCAGCCTCCCGCCTCCAGCCTCACTCCCCTCAAAGTCATCCCTCCACACAGTTCCCAAAGTATCTTCTGCAATATAAATTTGACAAATATGTGGCAAAATCCTCCTCCAGGGACGGGCCCCAGCAATTCACTGCCTGAAACCTCAACAGTCCCCGCTGTTTACGCTCCTTCGCTAAAGCACAGCCTTAAGGACAGACCTCTAGCCTCGTGGCCCACTCAGTGCCGCCTTTATCCTCCAACGCCAGGACACTATCAGCAGTCTCCTGCAACAGCATGACGCCTCCCATCCAGTCTTTGCCAGTGTCTTTCCAGTGGCTGCTAAAAGCACTATTTTAAGAAGTATTCCAAAGCTACTCTTGGAATCATAAAGAGAAGCCGTGAACAGCAGTTGCTGGTGGGCCCCACCCACAGAGAGGAAGGCAGGCACGGCACGTGCCAGGGATTTGCCATCACCGCCTGAGGACAGCTGACGATGGGCAGGGTGACCCTCACGTAGCAGGACCTTTAACACACATTTTGTTTTTAGTAACAGTTTTGTTGAGATTAATTCACATACCTTAAAATGCTTTTAAAGCATGCACGTCACTTGTTTAGTTTATTTACAGAGCTGTGCCTCTATCACCATCATCTAGAGCATATTATTTATTTATTTAATCACCCCCAAAAGAAACCCCAAGAGCAACCAGCCCCCATTCCCCCTCCGGTCCCCGCCCTGGAAACCACTAATCTACCTTCCGTCTCTGTGGATTTGCCTATTACGGGTGATTCGGTAACCTCGATGTTTAGCTTCCTGACAACAGCCAAACTGTTTTCTAAAGCGATTACACCAATTTTCATGTGTTTATTGCCCATGTGTATATCTTCTTTGGAGAAATGTTAATTCAGATCCTACACCCACTTTATAACTGGGTCAACTTATCTTTTAGTTGTTAAGCTGGAAGAGCCCTTTATATCATTCTGCATACAAGTGCTTGTCAAATATGTGACCTACAAATATGATGTTACAAACACTTTCTCCCACTCTGGGTTATCGTTGTACTTTCTTGATGCTGTCCTCTGATGCACAAAAGTTTTTAGTTTTGATGAAGTCCAACTTACTCAAGTTTTTTCTCTTGTCACTTGGGCTCTTAGTGTCCAAGATCACAAAGATTTACTTCCATGCTTTCTTCTAGGAGTCCTACAGTTTCAGCTTCATTTAGGTCTATGATCCATTTTAAGTGACGGTTTGTGTATGCTGTGGTAGGGGTCCAACTTCATTCCCTCCCACATGCTGTCCAAACGTCCCGGCACCATCTGTGGAGACTACTCTTTCTCCATTGAACCGTCTTGGTACCTTGTTGAAAATCCATTTGTCATAAATGTTTATTGTATCCTTTGATCTACATACCTATCCTTCTGCCAGTACCACATTCTCTTGATTACTACAGCTCTGTAAGAAGTTTCAAAATGGGGAAGTATGAGTCCTACGACTTTGATCTACTTTTCTAGGTTGTTTTGGCTACCCTGGGACCCTTCCGTTGTTGCATGAATTTTAGAATCAGCTTGTCAATGCCTGCAAAAGAAGCCAAATGGGATTTCGATTCAGATTGCGCTGACTCTGTAGATCAGTTTGGAGAGTCCTGTCATTGTAATACTAAGTCTTTCAATTCTTGAACATGAGACGACTTTCCATTTACTTATATCTTAATTTTTTTCAAAAATGTTTCATAGTTTTTGATATGCACTTTAGCTGAATGTATTCCTTTTTCCTTTTTGATGCCGTTATAAACAGAACTGTTAGCCTCACTCCATTTGCAGGCGGTCACGCTAGTGCGCAGCAGTGCAAGTGAGGTCTGTACATTTACCTCGTACCCTACGGCTCACTAACTTGTTCCAATACTTTTGTGTGTGCATAGATTCCTTAGATTTTCCTATATACAAGATCATGCCATCTGCGAATAGAGACAGATAGCTTTTCTTCTTTTCTATCTAGATGCCTCCTATTTCTTTTTCTTGCCTAACTGCACTATTCATTTTACCTTCAATAAAATGTTGAATGGAAACAGTGGGAGTAGCCATCTTTGTCTTGCTGCTGACCTTAGGGGGAAGCATCCAGTCTTTTACCATTAAAAGTATGTTAGCTGTGCAAAGTACAAAATTTTAAGAACAAGAGAGATTTCTACATTATGACCAAGAATCTCCATACTAGAGGGAAGTATGTGCTCTAGGGACAAATGGCCAGCCTCTCCAAAGCTGGTGACTTGTCATGACAAAGCAGTGATGAAATAAAGTGGTCGTCAAAGAAACTATTAGTTGGGGGCAGAGAAGTACTCTTATCTTGAATGCAAATTCATCATTTTATTAGAGCTAGGGTTAGCAAAGGTAAGACAAAAATAAAATAAAATAAAAGCATCAAATATCAAAAACATTAGCTTTAAGAAATTTAGTATTATCAAAAGCCTTAAAATTTATACACATATTAACCAAGCAGCTTCACTTCTAGAAACTTAGCCTAAAGAAAAAAATAAAATAAAACCAAGGATCCCAGCACTGAATATGAAAAAAATGGAAACCTGAAAGTCCAAATAAGAAATTTATGATACTCTATATGATGAAATATTTTATTTCCCTAATTCAAAGATGCTGTTGATTTTAAGATACATCATTATTGGGACTTCCCTGGTGGCACAGTGGTTAAGAATCTCACTGCTAATGCAGGGGACACAGGTTCAAGCCCTGGTCCAGGAAGATCCCACATGCCATGGAGCGACTAAGTCCATGTGCCACAAGTACTGAGCTCGCGTGCCACAACTACTGAAGCCCCCGTGCCTAGAGTCTGTGCTCCGCAACAAGAGAAGCCACTGCAAGGAGAAGCCCGCGCGCCGCAACAAAGACTAGACCCTGCTCACTACAAGTACAGAAAGCCCGTGCGCAGTAACAAAGACCCAACACAGCCAAAAATAAATAAATAAATAGATAGATAGATTTATTTAAAAAAAAAAGATACATCATTATTAATTTAGTAACAGTCCTGGTGGGAAGACAATATCACTTTAAATACATAAACCGTTTATAAGTCACAATTTCAGTAACATGAAAAATATGCATCTATGAATCCAAAAAATACAGTTCTATGCAGCCACTCTCGTGTAGGAG